CAGTACTTGGCTCCATAGAATGGTTCTCCTGATGGTGGTTTTTCTCATTATCCTGGAATGATGATGTTTAGCCCTAACATGTAAAAAGGACGAGGCAGAGGTCGAGGCTATTTTCATCCTAAACTGATTTGCCAAGTATGTGGGAAGACTGGCCATTCTGCTCTCCACTGCTATAATCGGTTTAATCATGAATATCAGAGTATTGCTGGCTCACTTCCTATTAACTCAGCCAATACCATAATTCCTAATTACACTGATGCTTCGACCCAAGCATTAATGGCAGCAAGAGTCATGCCTCCTCAGCCCTTTTCATACTCATCATATGGACCTCAGCCTAACCACAGTCTTACATTTAACTTTCGTCCACAGCCACCTCAATCAAACACTACTCAATTTCAACCATCCTATACCTTAGTCAGTGCTGCATCTCCACATTATGTTTCACCTCCATCACAATAGTATAATGTGCCTCGATCATCATCCCTGACAACTCCATTTACCAGTGATAGAGTAAACTCTAATCCAGTAGTCACAGGTCTACCTTACCAACAAGGATCCTTTGCATCTACCACTCCTCACACCTTAAATGATCAGACCTGGTTTGTAGACTCCGGAGCTACAAATCATATGACGACAGATCCTTAGAATATGTTTCTTCCATCAGCTTATGAAGGAGATACTCAGGTTCAGGTTGGTAATGGACATACAGTTCCCATTACACGTACAGGTATTAATTTTATACCTTCTGATTTCTCTTCTAAGGTGTTGAGTTTGAGAAATATGATGTGTGTTCTTAGTATAGCAAAAAATCTCTTGAGTATTTCACAAATAACAAAGGATAATGATGTTATTGTTGAATTTCATGCTGCACATTGCTTTATGAAGGACAAAACAACTAAAGACATACTTCTACAAGGGAGCCTGAAAGATGGGCTGTATTAGTTGCATATATCTCTACCATCTTCTGGATCTCTTGATGCAACTATGTCATCCATGATTTCCTCATCTGTAGTTCAAGATTTCTATCCTCAACGTAATGATGCAGCAAATAAAGATTCAGTTTCACAAGTTGGACCTTCTAGTTTTAATTCTGTTTTGGTAGCAAATAATTGTACTCCTATCCATCCTATATTGGATGCAAAACTTAGTACTACCTTGTTATGGCATGCTAGGTTAGGTCACCTTCAAGAAAAGAGTTTAAAAGTTGTGTTGAATAAGCTGAATGTATCTGGTTACTTTGGCAATAAAACACCTTTTTGTGAGGCTTGTCAATATGGTAAAATGAAACAAGCACCATTTCCTACCTCTTATTCTCATTCACAAGCTCCACTTGAATTAGTTTACTCTAACTTATAAGGGCCTGCCCCTGTAAATCCTCTGAAGGATTTCGCTATTATATCATATTTGTGGATGACTACAACAGATTTATGTGGATATACCCACTGAAAGCTAAATCTGAAGCATTTCCCATCTTTACAAAGTTTCATTGTTTGGTTGAAAAACAGCTGAATCATAGGATTAAATGTTTGCAAACAGATTGGGGAGGTGAGTTTAGGATATTTTCAAAATATCTAGATCAACATGGCATATTCTTTAGACATCCATGCCCTTACCTACACCAGCAAAATGGTTGGGTAGAAAGTAAACATAGAGCCATTACTGGGTTTGGACTATCACTACTTGCATATGCAGCTATGCCACTTTGTTTCTGGTGGCAATCTTTAGTACTGCAGTTTACTTGTTGAATAGACTGCCCCCCAGCCTCTCTTGATTATTCAATTCCATTTACAATGTTATTTGGTCAAGAACCAAACTAGAATGATCTAAAGGTATTTGGATGCTGTTGCTACCCTTTCGTCAAACCATATCAGAAGCAAAAGTTTGGTTATCATACCGAGAAGTGTGTTTTTCTAGGCTATAGCCTAGTTCACAAAGGCTATAAGTGTATGTCTTCATCCGATAAGTTGTATGTTGTCAAGCAAGCCAAGTTCAATGAGTATGATTTCCCATTTAAAAATGATTTCAAGAATGTTTCATGTGAAGATAGTGAGGTTGCTGGACTGACTAATGCTCCCATCCAAAGTTCCTAGCAACTTCCAAATTGTTCTCTCTATTCTTCAGATCCAGTAACTACAAGTTCCACTGAGTTTTGCACAGTCGTAGCTTCAGATTATCATTCACCAGTGGTGTCAACTCTACACCATCATACAGTTTCACATGCATCAGTACCTGCAGCTCAGCAAAATGTTTCATCTGCAATGAATTTCCCAGATTCAGGTCAACTGAGTTTTGTGCAGTCCCAGCTCCAGATTATCAACCACCATTGGTGTCCACTCTACACCATCATACAAATCCACATGCATCAGCATCTACATCTTAGCAAAATGTTTCAGCTGTAGTACATCTCTTAGATCCTAGGTTACAAAGACCTCAACCTACTGCATGTGAACCAGTCTCTGCTCAGTAGAATATGTCACCCGTAGTACCTGCTTCAGTAGTATCTCTTCCAGGTCCCAGGTTACAAAGAGATCAGTATACATGTGAATCCGTATTTTCTCAGCAGGATGTATCATCAGCAATGTCTCTTCCATGTTTTAGATTACAAAGAAATTAGTCTGATGATCAACCACCTGATAGATACACAACAACTACAGAGTACAGACCTTCTTCTGAGTATCTAGGAATTCAGTTAGAAGTTGATCTATGTTTTCCTAAGTTACAAACACAGAATACTCATCCGATGGTGACTAGGTCTAAGAGCAACTTGAATTCATCCAATCCCTGTGCCTATTTATCAAGTTAGACAATCCTAGTTGAACCTAAATCTGCAACTGGAGCTTTAAATATACCAGAATGGAAAGATGCAATGTTGATAGAATACAATGCACTTATGAACAATCAGACTTAGGAGCTGGTGCCTTGTATGCCTGGAATGAATATAGTAAACAATAAATGGGTTTTTTAAACCAAACTAAATTCTGATGGATCTTTGCAAAGGTATAAAGCAAGGCTTGTTGCAAAGGGATTCCAACAAACACCAGGCTTGGATTATTTTGAGACTTTTTCCCCTGTTATCAAAGCTGCCATCATAAGAGTCATGTTATCCTTGGCAGTTCATCATCAATGGGATATCCATCAAATCGATATCAACAATGTGTTTCTTAATGGTGAACTAACCGAGACTGTTTACATGTATCAACCCGAAGGATTTGCTGATCCACTTTTATCAAAGCATGTTTGTAATCTAAATAAAGCCTTGTATGGCTTGAAACATGCTCCTAGAGCTTGGTTTGACAAGTTGAAAAGTGTATTACTGTCTTAGGGTTTTGAGAATTCTACTGCTGATGTTAGTATGTTCGATTTCAAAAGAGAAGCTCAAGTCATCTATTTGTTGGTGTATATAGATGATATCCTTCTCATTGGGAATGATAATCATCTTATTGAGCAAATTGTGACAGATTTGAATAAACAATTTGCTCTCAAAACCTTAGGGTCTCTTAACTACTTTCTTGATTTTGAAATGACTAGAAATGATTCCTCACTACTCTTAACGTAAACAGGTATGCTCATGAGCTTCTCAATAAAGCTAGTATGGCAGATTCAAAACCTTGTCAGACCCCTATGGTTCTAGGAACAAAACTCAGCAAAGAGGATGGTGAATTATTTGATCAACCTTCTCTTTATAGGAAGGTTGTGGGTAGCCTACAATACTTAACCTTGTCCAAACTAGATATAGCATTTGTTGTAAATAAACTTATTCAGTTTTTGTTGACTGCTATGATTGCTCACTAGTCTACCTGTAAGAGAGTACTTCGGTACATTCAAGGGACCATTCATCATGGCTTGTTATTCACCAGAGATAAAAGATTTATTCTTGAAGGTTATGCTGATGCAGATTGGGCCAGTGACACTAACGATAGGAAATCAACCAATAGGTATGGAATTTTTCTTGGAGGAAATTTGATCCAGTAAGTTCAAGAAAACAAAAGGTAGTCTCCCTGTCATTTACTAAAACAGAGTATAGGTCTTTGTGTCAAGCTGCCACTGAAATGGTTTGGATTCAAAATCTGTTTACAGAACTGGGAATTGAAAACACACTCACGCATGTTCTGTGGTGTGACAACAAGAGTGCAGGGGCTTTGTCGTCAAACCCTATCTTCCACGCAAGAACGAAGCACATTGAAATAGATGTGCATTACATCCGAGAGTTGGTTGCTGATAAACAAGTTAGTGTGCAGTATGTGGGTACTAAGTATCAAGTGGCAGATATACTAACAAAACTCTTGTTTGGACATAGATTTCAGTGGCTAAGGGAAAAGTTAAAAGTTGCATATTCATTATTAAAAGTTACAGAATCAGTGGGAGAGAAAGACTAGTGAAGAAAGAAGTCAGTTGAAGTTGTTGTTTGCTGGAGAAAGAAGTTAGTCAAAGTTGTTGTTTGCTGGAGATTTTGTCTTGTGAGGAACTGCAGATAGATGAATTGTGAAGAAAGTTCAGAGAATGTTACGATGAAGAGGAAATATGAAGATGAAGAATAGTATAGGAAAAGTAGAGAATGTTTGGTTTATGGGAGAATGTTAGAATGAAGGACAAAAGTGGAGATTTTGTCTTGTGAAGAACTGCAGATAGATGAACTGTGAAGAAAGTTCAGAGAATGTTACGATGAAGAGGGAATATGAAGATGAGAATAGTATAGGAGAAGTAGAGAATGTTTGGTTTATGGGGGAATGTTAGAATGAAGGACAAAAGTGGAAATTAGCTAAATGAGAAAAGCTAAATGTGAAAACGATGTCGTTTACTCTTTCATGCAATATTTACTTATAAGCTCATCACGTGTATCTTGTAATAGTTAGTTAGAAAAAGTTATTTAGTTTTAGTTTGTGCTCTCTGTTTTCTCTCTGCTTTATTGGTTTTCTTGTTCTTGTAGAAGAAGATTCTTCTTCATCCTTTCATATAGTATAGTAGCTAGAGAGATTGAACAAATTCGATGGCCCTTGATTTTATGTCTTCATAATATGAGAAGCAACGTCTCTGCTCACGCTGGCCATGAAATCGACATAGGCAACTGGATCAGGAACGTCCTTGTTTCGTTTCTCGTATTTGATGCTCACTGTCGTAACGCTGCCGCTGTCCCACTGTTTTGGTGCAACTTTATAGATGGGTTTCAAGAACTTGAAGTTCTTGTAGAGATCTCTTTCAATGCCATGGAAAGTTACTGTCATATACTCATCATCTGCTTCAACTTTCTCCTTGAAAGTCTGAGCTCTCCCTTCTGTCAATCCATATATATATATATATGCATGAATGAGAAATAATATATAATCAAGCTCATTGTAATATATATCTTGATTATAAATTAGGGTTTAAGTTCACACTACTAAAAATTTATTTATACTGACGTACCCTTTCCCGACGCAACAACTGGTGTAATACCCCATCTATTCCGATACTAACACTGCATTAGCATTTTGGAATAAGATTACGACGTTGCATCGTTATCTCATCTCAAATAGGATGACGCAGAACGACGTCCTTCTGTTTACCAACAATGACACAGTCCCGCGTTGCAGAGGGGTGTTAAGAAAAAATTTAACAGATGATCTATGGTGTATATAAAAAGATGGCAGTACTAAACTCTAGATGATATATTTTTTACAGTTTTCAATAAAATAAAAAATATGTCTGAAAATACAGATATTCACAAAAGAGATCGAACGTTAATAAAAAATCTTACCCATGGTGTACTTCCGTATTTTGATGGAGTCGCCGGTCTCCCAGTCACCTTCATGAACCTCAACACCCTGAATGTTGGAAGGTGAGGTAGTGCAGACATGAAAGAATTCAGACTTCCAGAGCTTGTAGAACTTCTCAGCAAGAGCATCGATTTCAACTTCCTTCTCCACCTTACCAGTAAGACTTGCCATTGTTGATTTCACTTCGATCTCACACACTAATTAACAAAGCTTTAATTAAAAGGATTACACAAGAGGTTGCGCTTCAAGAAGATAATTCGGCCTCCCTCTATATAGAAATTTAGTTCAATCAAATCCTGCCAAATCGCCCTCTTTGTCAATAGTAATTCCATGTACTTATCATTACCAGTAGGTGAATGTATCTATATGTTAATTAACACATTCTTCATGTTCATTAATTTTTAGTGAGAAAAGACAGACAACAATCGAAGAAAATATCTTATTATAATTATAAAAGTTAAATTAAAGAACAGGTCATGTTAACGAGTACTCTTATGAAAATATTTTAAGAAACAAATTTTAAAGAAGAATTTATTGTGGTTAGATGCTAGTTGCAATTAATAACAATTAATTAGTTCTATCTGAGATATATTTTTAGGGAAAAATTAATTAAAATATCATTTCAAGTTTAGAATTGAAGAAAAACCAAGAAAGGAGGCAAGAAACCAGAGAGAGAAAAACAAGAGAGTCTGTTTCAACTGAAGAGAAATGAAATTTTTACTTAAATGAATCAGTTACAAGACTTAACAGTATTCAAACACATTATTAAGCTAAAACGCACCGCATTTACACTTGGTCTGATATTTTACAGACACACCCCCAAGGTTACATAAGTCTGATACTTTGCAGACACACCCCAAATATACTTCATATATTCTCTTAAACCAAACTACTACACTGCCTCTATATTTCATATTTTCCCTTAAACCAAACTACTAGACTGCTTTTATATTTCATATCTTTCCTTAAACCAAACTACTAAACTGCCTCTATATTTCATATCTTCCCTTAAACCAAAACTACTGAACAACCTTCTCAGCATTCTCACAATGGTATATTTGATATCTTCCCTAGTCGAATATGTATCTCATCAACTTAACAATTGAACATAACAATCAATCAAAGCTATTGAATCTGCAACTTCAAAACTGCTTAGAAAGAAAACCTCTACAGCATTCTCATAATGGTAATATTTTCCTTGTGAATCTGCAACTTCAAAACTGCTCAGAAAGAAAAAATTTGCAGCATTCTCATAATGGCAATATTTTCCTTGCAACTTCAAATCTGCTCAAAAAGAAAAACCCTGCAGCATAACATATTCACATATTGCAACTTCAAATCTTCTCAAAAAGAAAACCCTTGCAGAGATTCTATCAATACAATACAACTTTCCTGCAGACACCTGATCAGTATTCAATAAACTCACATCAGACTTTTATCAACACAATACAATCTATCGGCAGAATACAACTTCCCTACAGACACCTGATCAGTATACCATAAACTCACATCAGACTTTTATCAACACAACACAATCTTATCAGCATACTACATTCACACATTCTTTCTGCATTAAGAAAAAAAAAAAAATCACTACAGACTACTTCTGAATCACTGCAAGTTACTCTAAACCAAAAACATTCACTGCAGGTTACTCTGAACCAGAATCACTACAGACTACTTCTAAATCATTGCAAGTTACTCTGAACCAGAAACATTCACTGCTGGTTACTCTAAACCAGAAACATTCGTCTTAACTATCAGTACTGCTTGGCAGAGAAGAGCTTACTTTTAGCTTGTCCTTTAACATTGCAAATCTAGTACTAGCTAGAGCCTTTGTTAAAATATCTGCTATTTGATATTCGGAAGCAATATAATGAACATTCAGCAACTTCCTGGTGACCAGCTCCCGTACAAAATGCACATCAATCTCGATGTTTTTTGTGCGGGCATGAAAAATAGGGTTGGGTAACAGTGCTTCAACACTCATGATGTCACACCAAACTACTGGAGTATGATTTATAGTAACCCCAAGTTCAGTAAACAAATGTTGCACCCATACCAATTCAGTAGCAGCTTGACTTAGTGATCTATACTCCGCCTCAGTAGAAGATAATGACACTACCTTCTATTTTCTAGAAGACCATTGAATCAAATTTCCACCAAGGAATGCATTGTAACCACTGGTTGACCTGTGATCAGTCACATCTCTAGCCCAATTTGCATCCAAAAATGCTTCCAAAGTAAAAGGTTTATCTCCTGTAAACAGAACACCACACTCTAGAGTATCCTTAACATACCTTACAACTCTTTTACATGTTGTCTAGTGAACTACTGTAGGATGCTTTGAAAAATGACTTAATTTATTGACAGAAAATGCCAAATTTGGTCTGGACGGGAAGAGGTACTATAGCCTTCCAATAATACTTCTATAGAGTGTTGGCTGATCAAAAACTTCACCATCTTCCTTGCCAAGTTTCAGACCTGTAGCCATAGGTGTTGAGCATGGTTTACAGTCCTGCATACCATCTTTGTGTAGCAAATCCTGGGCATACTTGGTTTGGGTCAATAATAGTCCTGAACTATTCCTCTTTACTTCAAAACCAAGAAAGTATTGGACTTCACCAAGGGTCTTTAAGGCTGTTGTTCAAATCAATCACCACTTGCAAAATAAGCTGCGAATCATTACTTGACACAAGAATATCATCAACGTATACTAAAAGATACAACACATCAGACTCCTTTTTGTAAAAAAATAAACTAACATTAGAAGTTGAATTGACAAAACCCCAGTCAAGTAGAGCACTTTTCAGCTTATCAAACCAAGCTCTAGGAGCTTGCTTCAGACCAACCAGTTTGGTGTGAGCAAGACTTGAACCTGAATCTGAAAAACCTTCTGGAGGTGACATAAAAACTTGTTCCGTCAAATCCCCATTTAGAAACGCATTATTAACATTAAGTTGTTGTATGGGCCAATTATGATGGACTGCTAATGACATCATAATCCTAATTGTGGCAGCCTTGATAATAGGGGAGAAAGTGTCAAAATAATCCAACCCCGGAGTTTGTTGGAAGCCTTTGGCAACTAACCTGGCTTTATATTTCTGTAACGTACCATCTGAATTAACTTTGGTCTTAAAAACCCATTTACTTCCAACTACATTCATGCCTTCTTCATACGAAACCAATTCCCATGTCTTATTTTTCAATAACGCTTGATATTCATTCTTCATGGCCTATTTCCACTCAAGAGTTTGCAGAGCTTCAGTTACAGATTTGGGCTCAGAAAGTATGGTGGATGATGACACTAAAGCTTGATACTTGGATGTAGCAATGTGACTCTTGGACCTAGTAACCATAGGGTGAACATTTAGTGTTGAATTAGAGGAGCAAGGTAGCACTACCTCTAGTTGTATACCTGAAAATTTGTCCCGTGACGAAGAGCTTGGTACTGAATCAGAAGCTGGACACACTGTATCAAAATCAGGAGATATATTCACGAAATCAGATAGGGCATTTAAGTCCTCTGAAGAAGACTGTGGTACTGAATCAGAAGCTGGACACACTATATCAAAACCAGGAGATATATTCACTGAACCAGACAGGACATTTAAGTCCTCTGAAGAAGACTGTGGTACTAAAACAGAAGCTGGATATACTATATTAAACACAGTAGCTACATTTGAAGGAATAGTGGAGACCTCGGGAGTGAAATTTGATGAGTTAGAAGCAGAGTTAAGAGCAACTGAAGCAGATGGATCAGACTCGAAACCAGATTTATCAAGGTTTCTTAAAATATGCTGAGAATAGCCCAAGGTTGAGTTGTGTTGTTCTTAGATACTAAATTTAGGGAAAGAGTACTAGCAGAAACATTCATCTTAAACCCAGTTTTGTAAGGAAATTCAGCTTCATTGAATCACTTGTTTGACAATATACATTCTACCAGCAGAAGATAGACACAAATAACCCTTGTGAGATAGACTATACCCAAGGAAAACACATTATTTTAGTGTGATAGGATAGCTTGTGTTGATTGTAGGGTCTAAGATATGGGTAACAATTACAACCAAAGACCCTAAACTCATCATAAGTGGGTTCCTGATTGTATAGATGTATAATAGGGAGAGACAAATTCAAAGGCTGAAATAGGTAATCTGTTAAGGATGTAGGTAGCTGTACTAAAGGCTGACCACCAATATTTCAGAGGCATACCAGCATGTGCCAGAATAGACAGACCGTACTCCGTAATAGACTTGTGTTTTCTCTCTACTTTCCCATTTTGCTGATGAAGATAAAGACAAGAGTGCCTAAACATGATTCCATTTTGTTGTCAATATCCAAAAAAACTCCTAAACTCTCCACCCCAATCTGTTTGTAAGCATTTCAATTTCTCATTCAACTGTTTCTCCATAAACAAGTGAAACTGAACAAACACAGCACAAGCCTCAGATTTTAGTTTTAGAGGGCAGATCCAAGTAAATCTACTAAAGTCATCTACAAAAATGACATAATATTTGTAGCCTTCCCTAGACAGCACAGGTGTTGGGCCCCATAAATCATAATAAATCAACTCTAAGGAAGCCTTTACTCTAGATTTGGATGCTGGAAAATGAGACTGTTGTAGTTTCCCATACTGACAGGCTTCACAAAAAATAGCTGTTTTATTACTTACATTATGCTTTGCATTTAACTTTTCCAACACAGCATGAAGGGTTCTCATATTTGGATGCCCTAATCTTGCATGCCATAACAAAGACAAATCTAGACTTGTATCTTTATTACAACTGAAACTACAGATAGTAAAGTTAACAACACTCTCTAATCCTGAACTAGAAAGTTGAACAGCTTCAGAGCTCAAGCCAACACCAGCCGTGTGAGGACCAGCATTGGAATAACACTCTGCTTTTATTGGTAAAAAAGAAACTGCATTGCTATAGACTTGTGCAAAAGGACTAACATGAGTGGACAGCTCCAGTTGGTAAAGGCCATTCTTCACAGTCCCTTGAAGTAGCACAGTCCCACTATCCTTATCCTTTACCAAGCAAACATCAGTATGGAACTCTACTATAACAAGATTATCCCTAGTAATATGTGAGATACTTAACAGATTCTTTGCAATCTATGGAACACACAATATATTCCAAAGTTTAACAACTTTATGAGTATCAAAG